TGGAGCAAAATAAATTGAACATACTGTTCAATTAGGGTTGCAAATCACATTACTGAAAATTTCATAGTATACATATGTACAAACATATGTTACAAGGATCACAATACAAAACATGATGATATGACAATAATGTGTAAATGCAGTGACATGCACATCTCTCTCTCTCTCTCTCTCTCTCTACATATATATATATAGATAGATATATATGTATGTATATATGTATGTATATATGTGTGTGTGTGTGTGTATGTGTATATATATATATATATATATATATATATATATATATATATATAACTTTGTTAAACCACCATGTGCACAAGACAAGATTTTTTATGAAATACAAAATGAAAACAATAAGTATGTCAACTGTATTACATGTTGCCTTTATCCAAATAAACGGACTAAATAATAACTTTATATTTTGTCATCAGTAATATCAACCACATCACAAACTGAAAGTGCGTGGGCCAAAGTAAACAGGTGAGTGAATGGAGTAGCAGGCTTCTGTGTTTTACTAGAGCACTGTGTCCGATCTGTCAAAGCCAAAACACAACAGAGTGACACGTTCCTTTTATCTGTTTCCACGAAGCCCTCACTGTGCGTTGCGGTGCAGTCCAAACATAAAGCATTTCAGTGTGATAGTCACTCCAAGTCCCCCCGATGCAACTCTCTGCTTATTGTCACGGCGACAAATCAACCGTGAGGAGGCTGCAACTGTCTGTTTCCTTATCACTGGCTCTTACTCGCCTAAACAGTCTCCAAAAAAGGACAGAATCTCACCTCTGCATCAAATTGAAATGTTCCGACTGAAATATTGCAGGGAGTATATGAGGCTAGCATACGGATCAGGTGTTATATCAGTGGGCTAGAGGCTAAGACATTTCTCAAGCTAAAAAGACTAAAAGATGTCCCTCTATGACTTACTATGACCTATGTACATTATATTTGTTTTGGTAATGCCAGTCCAGTGCTGAGGGCCAATGAGGGAGAGAATGTCAGGACAGATTTGTGTCCCTGGTGCTTTCTAAGGCTATTATGTCATCACAGCCATTAAGACAGTTTGAAAAGTGATACTCATATCCACACATATCTTTGTTGTGTGTTTGCCCAGGCTTGTTTGTTTGTAATTTTTAGTTTTAACTATGACATAGGGTAGGGTTCCTCAATTAAGGCAAAAATTGAAACCACAATTATTTGGCTCATAATTGAAATAACAATTGTGTTCACTTGTCAAAATGAACCTGTACATGAGACATCTAATATACTATATTAGTTATTTAATTAGAGTAATAATTTAATTCACAATTTTGAGTCTGATTAAATGCAGAGCACAAAAGTAGAGGTTTGGGTACATCAATATATTCTCCAAAACAACAGTTGTTAATAAGATATTTGCTTGAAGTTGAATTTAGGCACTCAGTGTACAAAGCATACAAGAGCAATGACCTTGTGTAATCTTTTTATCTCACCTCGTGCCCACTCTCTAAAGTGTTAAAAAAAGAAAAGACAGAAATAATATTGAGTGAGCACCATCTTTGTGCTGGTTTCTTTGTGATTATTTCTAACCCACAGTTCTCTGTTTCTAGCGGCACAAGCCAACAAACTGTATCAGCAGATACAGCACTCCGACGCTCGCCTTCGTAGTACACCACGAGAAACCAATTTCGGCTGCAATGAAAAAAAAAAAAAGAATCAGGCCAGTTCTCTGGGGAAAGATAGAGGTGCAGAATGTAAACTTCTCTGGCAAGCTATCCCCTGTGGATTGAACTGTTAAAAGAAGCTCTAATGCTCACTTCATGTAAGACAACTTAGTGGACAATCTACATTACACAATTAAATAAACTGAATTCTATCTGTGCTTAAATATATAATACTATTAATTATCTTATCACTTTTATCACTTTTACTACCCAAAAAACTCTTAAGTAGTATCACATTTAGAGTCCTGTGCCTTCCATCTCATCTGTGGAAGTGGAGTTTGATTGATGCTCACAGAGTCTTCTCTGCCTCACAGGTTTGAGTGTTTGTAGCCATCGGTGAAGGTCACATGTTTCTGTAATTAATGACTTCAGTCTGCAACAAGTCTTTTTAACTCCTTGAGCCCTCTCACTGACAGGAGAAAGGGGCTTTGTTCTCCCACCACAGTGAAATATAGATCAAGAACGATGCCACACTAGAGCCTTTTTATTACTGAAGAAGGGTTTGTCTGGTGGTATTTTTATAAGTTGCCTGAGAGACAAATACTAAAATGCTCTTAATTCGCATTGGCGCTGTGCCAGGAACAGTTCGGATACACATTTGGAAAAAGGACTGTTTCCCTCAATAACAATGGCACACTTTATTGCAGTGAGGCTCTCTATGTTTTTGTGTGCAGTTTGTGGTATAGCTGCAGTATCCTGTTATGAGCAACAATCCAATTCCTTTGACATAGTTAAAGATGTGCCTGAGAATAACAATCATAAACTACATCAGTCAGATAATATCCATCAAACACTAACTTAGAGCACTTCTGTTTACAAATCCAAGCCAGAGAAAGAAGTATTCCTCTGTCATAAAAAAGGCAGGAATAATGCCATAAAAAGCCTGACTAATCTAGGATCAAATGACTGAATACACGGACTTTGCTCCACAGGATGCTTTAAGGCCACTTCTACATCTGCTGCTGTGTTATGAATATTTCAGTTGAGCAGTCAGCTACGCAGTGGTTTATTTCATATTTCAAATGCAAACCCACAGAAGGAGTAACATGCTTTTATGGAGAAGTATCTTCTCAGATTCTCCTGTACGGCTCATGTATCCAGCAGTAATTCTACCTTTAATACTACTAGTGCTGAAGAGTTGCATTAGCATTATTATTGTAATCCACTGAGGTCCATCCATTAATATTATTTAGAAGCTTTTTTCCTAAATGTTTATTTTGATGTAAATTATGTGGCTCTTTTGTTGTCTGTGAATTTCCAAACCAAAACAATAGAACAATGGTGTGTGTGTGACAGTAGTGTGTTTGTGCATGTCCCTGGTGCCGTGCCAGAGCCTGGCCTGTTCTGCTGACTGTGCAGATTCTCAGAGCAGTGTCCCATTGGAGTGACAAGTGCATTTAGAAAGAGCCTGATGGAGTCATTAACAGCAGCTCTGCTCATTAGCAGCACACGTGCACACTGTGGCCCGCACCCACACTTCAGGTCTTCAGGTTATTACTGTGACAGTGGATAAATCCATACAACCCGGCCACTATGCTATTTGTAAAAGGGCCTTCATATGCAATACAATATCATCAAGATGCAGGCATCCATTTATGAAAGGGACTGATGCACAGAAACACAACCACAATCAAAGTCTATTGATCTCTGGAATAACAACAAAGCATCCTTTATCGATCCCTGGTCCTTTTGCGTATATGAGATTGTAGCAATGTCGGGTAATCAAGGGCATCGCATTAAAAAACATATGGCTTTACTTCCTGGAACAACACACAGCTCTGCAATGCACACATATAGAGCAGGACAGGTAATTTAGGCTTATAGCATGTTTTACACCCACAGACCTCATTATAATATACATTATTCAAAGGCAGAAAAATACTATAGTGCTTACTAATAATGTGGAACTAGATGGTAATTGTGATGCTGTTGTCATTTGAATGAGCCATAAGCATTACATCACAGCATCAGCCAGAGCAGAAAATAAGTGGCTTCAAAGGGAACATTATGTTCTTTGTGATTAGGCTTAAATGCCACAGTTTCTTATTTGCATTGGGTGAGTCATCGGCAGAGACATGCCACTTTATCTCAGGACTGAGTCTTGGTTAACACAGCAGTGAGACCCTGGAGACTGACTGCAATAATCAAACATTAAGTGTCAAAGAGAAGTTGACATTTAATGGTGCCATATACACGACAAATACATGAGGCAACTATTCAGAGTCACACGGATATGAAGCTAATAGCCAACCAATTACAACATTCACAACATTCACAGTGTTAGAGAAACAGTGGGCAACAGTTCCACTCAATTGATTACCAGTACATTTGTACATTATTTTTATTGCACTTTGTTGCTGTTAAACACCCAACAGAATATTGTAGTCATGAACAATATTAGCAAAAAGAACCGAAATGACTACGTGTATTTCAGGAAAAATAGTGATCACTGCAGGTTAGGAAGATAAAAGTATGCATGGGCAATTACTGTAACACTAAGGTTCATTACAATCAGATGTATGAGCAATACCAGATGTCCAACCAATGACAACGAAGTAAACTAATTGGCAAATGTATAACTATATAACCTTATGCCCACCCTGTATGATTATGCCTGTCACGCTGCCAAATTTGGACGTACAAAATGTCACAATATGAAAATTTGAAGTGTGATACACTGCTGAAATAAATATAGACGTTAAGCAATAATAACTAAACTAAACCATTACAGAATCATTACCCAAATGTTTTCTAAATGTACAATATTGTTAAAAACATAAGCTGCAATAAACAAATAACAGAATGCAACACTTAGTTATTTTATGTCTGAAATGGGTTATACCTTCTACAGCTCACATCTCATCATAGAACAGGAAAATAACCAAACATTTCTCACCAGTACAATGAAAAAGTCCCCACAATAAATACTGACAAACAAAAAATATTATTCCATCTGTCATGAATTGAATGATAAGTCGATATATTAATTATTATGACAGGCCTACTGATTAAACTACTTTATGCCACTGACACAGTAACCGTAAAGTTTTCTAAACCTACAATATTGTGAGAAAACATGAGCGACAACAAATAAAAAGCATCCACTTTGACAGTTAGTTAATATCAATAATGACTTATCAGTTAGCTCACAATTTACCATATTAAAAAAACAAACTTCCCCATTAGTGCAACGAAAAGGTACAGGTAACAAATAATGAGCCTCAAAATATATTGTTTCATCTATATTGAACAATGGGTTGTTACGTACAATGACAGTATGTGAAATGCCTGGCTCACCTAGCTTGGCCCTCTCCCTCTGCACATCCTTGAAGTTGAGGCCGCTGGTCCAGGTGGTATCCCTGTAGCGGTGCAGAGCCTCTCGACGCCCGTTGGTGCCCAGCTTGTGTAGTACGGCGGGCTTCAGGGGCTCCACCTTCAGCCCATGTCCCCATAGCGACGAGTCCGGCACGGCCCACTTCACCAGGTCCTGCAGACGCACTATCACCTTCTCGGATACGGCAATGACTTCATGCTGCCAAAACAAATCCGTGACAAAGACGAAAGGTCATGCTCAGAGTTCACGCAGGACAAAGAACAGATCGGCCGTATTTATCAGCTTGATTGGTATGTGTGTCGTGCCGCATTAGGGCCATGTTAGTGTAAGTAAATTAATGGGGACATGAATATGGAGGGAGCGTGTGATTGCTGAATTGAATTTAGGCCAGCATTTAAATCAATGTCAACGAGGACATTGTTGTTTTAAGATGTTTTGATCAACATCTATTAAGTGGGGTGGTTCATAACACCTCTGTTCACTTTGCTTTGAAGCTAACAGTGCACCTTTAATGTGTAATGAATTAATAAGATTAACATGAATGAATGACTTAAGAGACAACCAGTCCTCTTTGACATACCTACGCACTCATAATAACAAAAGTTAATAATTTTAATGACTTATACTCACTTTTACTTTCTATCTTGCTCTGTGTTTTCTCAATAGGTAGACCAAGCCCTTTTAATAACTTGTACTTGAACTACTACCACGCTGATGGAGTGGGAAAGAGCCCAAGATGCCTAAATGTGTTTCCATTTGAAGGGCTAATGGCTGAAGTGCTTGTTACCAACAGAGTGGAGCAGTTTGCTGGAAGACGACCATTACAGGGCTCAAATCTGGAGTACAGATGTGTAGAGATTTGTCATGTTTTGTGGTTATTTGGAGAGATAACCACACGTTTTGCATTTTAACATTTAAATTAACAGTCTTTAAGGGGTATAAATAGTGATCTTTCTGCCTGAGCTGTGTATACAGAGGGGGTGGACTGCAGTTGGAGCATGCCTACACAGCCTAATAAAATCCAAAGCAATAAATCATGTCTTTGTAAACCTCACGGTGGTTTCTGTTGTAACTCTGTCCTATATAGTTATTGACATTTTTATGGTGCAAGTGTTGTCCAAAAGCAAATATGATCATAAAGTCAGTATCTTTGAGAAATATTTCTTCAACAATTACTCATTTTCCATTCTCACATTATCAGAAACTACAGGCATTTCAAATGAGAGCAGTTGGAGACAGTATTTCCTTATAAAGGAATAGCCTGCGAGGGGTAGCTTGATATAGCTGTGCCTCTCACTAAGTAAAAACATCAAACATGGGTTTTGGGTCTTTTTATAATGAGCTGTCTTCAGCTGTCAAGTGGTGGCGGGTGGTTGTAACTGGCTTTCCATGTAATGAAAAAGTGACTGCTGTTCCAGGCTTCGGGAAAGCAGGCCATTTGAATAATGTAGAGCAACAGTAAATAGCATTCAGCCTGCAGTCAAAACCCATATTGTACTGGAGCAAGGACTGTACTTTGATGCTATCTAAGCAGACAAAGAAGTAAACGGTGAAATATTTCTCTTCAGTCCAGTCAAAACTAAAGTACAACACTCAAGTTACAGCACTGAAGAATGGATCTAACTCTAATACTATGGGTTATTTAATAGCACATCAGGGGTGCACAGCGAGAGCAATAGAAATACTTAAAAACACAACAAGTGCCTCTTTATCAATCAAGCCAATGACACGCTGCCTTGTGTGAGTGTCAACAGATCCTGTTCAGGGACTTGTTCAGCTCAAGAGCAAAACACAACAGGTGAGAGCAATTCAGCAGCTGTCAACACAGTCCACAATATAATCAGTCTGTGAGCCTACAGCCCCGCTCCAAATACAGGCTATGTCAATTAGTTCTGCTATACACTGGGCCTTTTGTTATGTTTTACTCTACCCTCTGTCTGTGGGCAGCACCTACAGTCAGGACACGGCATGTGGGCTGGAGGTTTGCACAAGCTGTGATTTGATTGAGAAATACTCACTCAGATACTGTAAATGTGAGCAATGTTGAGCAGCATACCAGAGGGGGAGTCACTATTGGGAAATACTAACCACAAGAAAAGTTGCACCATTCACTTTAGAGTGCAAAATGCTCTTTGTGGTTCAACTATTGATTTGGCAAGAATATTGAAGTAGATTGTACAAGCTCAATTTTGTTATTTTGTAAAACTTCCAAAATCATTTAGCTGAATATATATAGGATTTCTTGGCGTTTCTAAAGCTCACTATAAATCCCATTAGGAAATCTGTTCATTACCTAACAGTTTGAGCACATGACAAGCTATAGCTGAGATGATTAATTCATTAAGTGCTCGGGTCTTGTGATCTTTCTAAGTATTTTGGTTTGAAACTTGGGGCTTTGTCTTGTATAAATGCCGCTCTACCACACTGTGCTGTCAGCTCAAGTTAGGCGGCTGATCGTTTAGCCAAGCAGCAGACGCAGCCAGCAGGCCACTTGATAATATAGGTCAGAGGAGTGCTAGCCCACAGCGCAGAGGTGACACTCCACATAAACACAGTGTCAGATTAGTAACATGCCGTATGCAATACATTAATCATATTTATCACAATGCACTCTAACTAACAATTCCTGTATTATTTTTGTATTTCATTCATTTAAAAGTAAAATGGTTACTTGTATGTAAGCTACTAGAGTACTAAAATCTAAAAGCGTAAAGAAAACAGTAACATACACAACTCAGACTTAGACTACACAAAACTATTTAAAATACTTTAGCACTAATTACGATATTTATTTAGTTCTGATATGAATATTGCGTTAGCTAATTACTACTAGTCAGACATATCTTGTGCAGTATTATCATTATCAAAACATTAAAATTCAAATTTGACTTTGACTATAATGCAGACACTGTATCGCTCTACTGTACACTATCACAGCATGCATGTACATAATAAAATAAATGTAAGGAAATTAATGTTCCCATACAACATGTTTTATTCTACAACATGCGGTCCTGTGACTAATATCCATGTCATTCAGTTTGTACAGATGAGTGGAGTACTGGTAACAGTGAGTCTCTTAAGAATCATCCCCAAATACTGTTTAAGGTGATCCTATTAGAACAATGCCCTCTGTAATGTCCCCTGCATGGCTCAAGAGGACAACAGTAAAAAGAGGCATTCCTGAGTGTCACAGTGCTCCAGCTGAGCATCTCATCACTGGGACAGGACCTTGATGGTTGGAGTTAGCAGTGGGTAGGTGCGCCCCTGTCATGCTGCGAGGCTTTCAGGCTGCTGCTGCACACAGGTCAGCGCAGGAATTCCTGAGGCCAAAGGAGATTAGTAATTGAGTAATGGACATAGTGACATGGACAATAAGGAGAGAGAGGCAACCAAACACAATATGGCTTCATTATCTACGCCCCCTTCTCATGACTGACCTTGGCTTCACAGGCCCAAAACAAACTTATCTCTGAATTAAAATGACAGAGTTAGCAGAATACAAACCAGTGAGACTGTGAAGGTTTGTGTCCATGATGGTGACTGTGCTTATATAATCCTTTATTATTCCTTAGTTAAATATAATAAAACTGTGTTTCACATCCAAGGGACTGCATTCACTTCTATTTACTGATCCCATAAGGTGAATGCTCAAAAATGAGGGAATATTAAGTGCACAGCACCATTTAACATAAAATATATAGAAGCAGGGAATGGCTGCACATCACATCTGGGCTTTATCAAAGTGGCCAAGACATCATGTTCGAGGACACCTCAAAAATGCTGCATCAGCATCTACAACTATAGGTGCAATATTGTACTTTCTTGCAAATACTCATTGCTGAGAAAATATGATGAAGCACCTAGAACTGTCAAAGTATATAACTATCTTAGCTATTTTGTAACTACTGCTATAATTCATTATTGTATGACTTTGTCCAATTACTTATTATTTTAAATGTGAGTTTGGATAAATCTTTGGCTTCTCATCTGTGGCTTTGTATCTCAAAAGGCATAATAACGATCCAGTGGCTGGGGGCACTCGAGTCATGCATCAAGGCAAATGTTTACTTGTTCAAGTGGTTAGTCAATGACAAAGTGGAAAACTCTGAGCTCAAAAGTCCCTGGTGTTGACAAACCAGGTGCTGCTGTAATATGTCATTATACAGACAGCAAAAAGACAACAGAGTTTAGTGAAAAACCATGAAAGACTCTTATGATAGATGAGAATAAATGTTATTGTCTTTGATGTGGTGATTATATTCCTTTTAAAGGTTGGATATGACACAATCGCCTAGAAGCTGGTAATAATTTACATGCTATTTCAGCAATAGTGAGGAATTCACTGGAGGGCAGTGTTGGGAGTTAATGACTTGTTCTGCAGGAGGACGCCTCCCGCACACATGCGCACACACCACCACACATGCACAGTGGCCCCCCTACCTCCAAAATTCCTGCCATTGTTGTCTGAATAGGGAGATTTGCTATATTACACAGGCTGGCCCAGACAACACAACAGTGTGGATATTTTAAAATGGCCAGTGGAAAAATGTGCCACAGCAGATTTACACTCAAGTCATTCAGCATGACGACCTTATCCACCAAATGCCACTCGCATATCTAAGCCACTTACACTTAACTCAACTAGCATCCCAGATGCCTAAATTACCCATTCAGGGTTTTTCCCTGAGGAAAAATCAAAGAAGCAGCAAATGAATACAATCTAATTTCCCTACAAGCTGGCTTTCCAAGCACTGAAACACATGCATGGACCGCTGCCATGTACTGAAGAAATGGCTCTGGATGAATGCCAAAGTGTTTTCCACAGCAATCAATAGTGGCTAGTGCTGCAGTCCCAGCCTGTCAGTGCTGTATGTTTGAGAGGGGCAGGACAGAAGAGAGGTCATCTCAAACCAAAGGTGATAACCGTATATTCATATCATAGGGTGTACGTTTACTCTGAGCACTTATGATTTCCCATTAAGAAGCTCATGCTGTATTTGCACTCAAGTGGGGTATATATAAAAGATAAGCATAAGCAATTAGTGGCCTGCAGCACAGTGTACAATGGGCTGTTTCAGTGCCGCTGTGAGCCGTTATCTTCCAGCAGCTCTCTCCTGAAATAGGGAGTCCAAAAACAGAAAGTATTAAAGTGGGCACACCATAGACACAGAAAGAGGGGAAGAAATGATGTGTCACTCAGAGAGGTTTAAAACACATGTGACTGTTTAGTCGGTGGCAGTTTGCAGCAGACAAATAGAGCAGGGGCCCCAAAAGAGGGCCTGTCATAGGCATAGTGCATGACCGTCTCAACAAAGAGAAAGCCATGGTCAACTGGTAGAGGTAAACAGTGTCATACAATAAAAGTGGAGTTTAACTCAAGACTTAATAATACCACTGAATAAGCAGTGTGTTTACACTCTATTACAGACTCTGCAAACACAAACAAAGACTTACATTATGATATAGTGATTGCTGACTTGAGGCTACAGCATTTAAAAGGAATTGACCTCCAACCCAAGACTGAAGCAAAACAAGCACAGAAGGTCGAGAGTTTGGTTCCTCCAGCAAACATAGCCTTACAGAGCAGGAGAGGCTATAGCTAACACAAATACTATAGAAATATCCAGGAAATTACATCATACCTCCGCTCTGCCAAGTAATCAGTAATCTAATTCAGTTCAATACCGTCTTCTCTGCTATATGTCTCCAAATACCATTTGGAATTTGAAAGATGTAGGCTTCAGGCTTGAGATATCACTTACTGTCTGTACACACACAAAAGTAACAAAAATGCCAGATAACAGTTGATATTTTGGGTAAGAAAGTGGTGTAAGTTTCATTAAAATCACATAAGAAAATGTACCTAAATGTGCTTTAGTGGCCAGTTACTGTCCAAACAGCAAATACTCATAAGTCTCTTTTTATGATACTGTAATGGACCATGTGTCTAAGAGTCACAGAAAGACTAATTTAAGCTTTGATTTTTGGCTTTTTCACTTCCCCATGTCACTCTGAGTGACTAAAATAACAGCAGACACATTGTTTGTAGCGCTGCAATGATAAATCACTATTGTGACTAGTAATTATTAAAGTAATTATAATTGTATTTTGATTATAATAATTGTTCACTGGATTACAGATTCTAAAAACACACGCCAAAAGACCTTTTATAATAAAACAGCAGCATTATTAAATCAAAATGACCAAACAGAATAAACTACTTTCTTCAGCAATGCTCTTTATCCACAAATAATCTCTATCTAGAAACAATTGGTTGCTGTATTTCAACCTTTATTTGGTTAAAAATGTTTTTAAAAAGTCTCAATATACAAAAATAGCTGATTGACCATACAATGAATTTTAAAAATCTACAGCTGACTAGTCAAATACTAAATGAATGTTAGTTGCAGCTCTCTTTACATAAGGCATTATTCAGTTTGTTTAAAGTGAGTAAACGTTGTCCGAGGAGTCTATAACATAGGACTATATACAGAAGAAATCCGCCTGATTTACTGAAAGTCCAACAAATTTTATTTTAGGTCAAGTTGCAGGCACAATGCATTGAAAAATGGAATATATTAATATCACTGTTAAATAACTCGTTTTAAAAATAGTGCAACTTGTAAACAGGCATCTTCTGTGTATGCACTGGAACTGAACCAAATCACTGCATTATTCATGAGAGAAAAAAAGCGTGTGTTCTTCAGACTGACATCAAACACAATGTAAAGCAGGTGATTTATCTAGTACATTGTGTGCTACACCTATAAAATTAGATTTGCACTGCGGTGCAGCCATTTTGGTTGTTAATAAAATCTTTTTCAAGATATTCCCAATGGCTTGGAATGTATGCGCTTTGCAATTCAAATAAGTCTTTGGGAAAGGGGCGGAGCTGAGAGTCATTGCGCAACTGTGGCCACGGAATCAGCAATGTGTGCACTTAAAGTAATTACAAAATAATTGCTGCGTGTTAAAGGCTAAAGCGAGGGGCTTCATGAGATGATAACCGCCCCTAGAACATCATCAGTGAACACCGTGGCTTAAAAGCGTCCGGCATTAAATGCCCACCTTTCTGATGAAAGAGAAATGTGATAGCCACTATTACTCAAGAGGAAAGAATGTAAGTAAACCATCAGCGGAAGACTCGAGTACAAACACGGCTTTGTCCTTGCCTAAACAATATTAAAGGCAGCTCAGAGTCATGTAGGCTATGTGATCAAAAGCAGTCAGACAGTGGGAACTGTAGTGCACTGATATTAGAAAGCAAACAACACATCATTTGTTTTACGGTCAGTGCGTAAAACTGTCCCAATAATCAAAGTGTTACAGCATTCAGTGTGGCGAAGTAACCGGATCACAAGCGCCACATATGGCCACAGTCAATCATAACTATTGCCTTTTTGTGCCAACAAACGGCGTAATGTAACACGGGGGAGGCGGGAAGTAGCCCACTGCCTCAACAATAACACATTGTCAAGAATGAAAATGTCCACATGGAAAATCATGCAAAGAGAGGAGTTTAAACATGTCAGCGCTGGTTTTGCCCTGCTGTTACACTCAATGAGTCGTTATTTCAACACCAACCTCTATTACAAAATAATGAATAACTCTCTAACAGGTAGTTAAATCATTTGCATTGCATTCACTCTGTTTCGCAATATCCGCCTATATAGCCTATGGATATACACTGCTTGGCACGCTTTGTCATATTTAATTGCTATAAGTCCTTTTATTAATATAACATAGAACACAGCTGTAGTTCATATTTAACTGAACAAGTGCACATTCAGCAACCGGCACCGGAAAAACTAAAGACTAAATTTAACAAACGCATTAACAATAAGGCTGTAGTATTTGGAGTCATCACAGAGCGTATCAGTGCCTATTATAATGCCTGTGATACCGGAGACTATTACGCGCTGCCAACTCCTAATGCAGTAAAGATGCTGTAAAATAAAACGCTTGCCAACAGGGGGACACTAAACACGGCAACACTTCACTAATAATATTCTACCTACCTCTCCGTGTGTGACCGTCCTTCCCTGGGGAGTATCCTCTGGTAGAAAATAAAGTTTGGAACTTGATAAAAGTTGCTTGCTTGTTCTTTCTTCCCAGAGCAGTTGGAGCTCCGCTATGCAAATAGGTTCCTCAGGTTTACATCTGACAAAGAAAAAGTCACCCAGAGACAAAATCCTCGGCTTGGCTTCTTGGTGAAATTTAAAGGCTTTATAGAAAATGTATGGTCCATGTAAACCGCAAGACGAGCCCACCCACTGTTGAGAAAAACAAATAAATACAAGAAATTATTCAGTGGTTGAAACTGTATATGAAATAAAAACAAACATCGGTACAAACGTTTATCATTGACCAACGCTGGTTAATTACGCGCTAATAACCACGTTACTAAGCAAGCTGCACACAATTAGCAGCGTGTAACTATTTTAGGCGTTAAACATACAACACAGATGTGGTCAAATTAAATGCAATGATGAAACTTTTGTAGCTCAAGTCAAGTAGAGTAGTGGAGAAACAGCAGTAAATGTCAAAATAGGCAGGTAAATAAAAGAAAGCGCTACCTTCAGTGAGTTCGGCTCCATCTCGACGTTATGAATTGATTAAACTCAACACGCTCTCCAAACTTGCTGGCTTGAATGGATTGCCGAAGGTCCTAGAAGGTAACTATAACTGTGGACTTTAAACCCATCTGAACGGGTCATACAAACATAAACTATTATTTAACCAGATCCACAAAACAAAATAATTCAACCGTTGCGTAAATTTAATTCCGTACCTTTGTGCATAGATTTTTATGAACGTTTTTGAAATTTTGGTGTTTGAAATATCCAAAATATTCTAAAATAATTGACAGCCATATTATATAATCCGAAAGAAATAAAGTCATCAAGTTTAATAAAATGTTAAACTTACATATTTATTTATTGCCTGGATAAAATAATTGAATTTAACGCAAAAATAAAGGCACTTGTGTATTTCATGTTTGTGTATCTTCTAGGACTTGTGCAAAAGACGTTCAGTATGAAAGCACATTTCTCACAGTAATGACACTGAGGCGCTTGTGTGGATGCCTCCAAGAAACAATGTTACATCAAAGTTAATAGGGCTATCAAATGATTCCTTCAAAGGTAATGTAGGAGCCGTGAATGTCTATGAGGTAGGCTATGGCTGTGGCTTTGTCAGGAACTTTGTGTAAATATCCTTTATGGCTCCGGTGCGCATGTGCGTTTTATTGAATGATAATAATAGCTTTATTAAGGCAAATAAAAAAATAGCAAAAGATGTCGATTTAGACAGCAAGAGTCATGAGACAAGATTCACGTGGCTGTCAATTCTGCTCATATAATTCACTTCAGTACCCCGTACTGACCTTGTGGAACCGATTGACGCCAACATTTACAGCTGTACATATCTTCTATAGCGCTTTTTAAATAAGGGTTATCAGGAAACATCTCTGAAAGCTTTAACAAATCTAATATGAACATTCAAATTCTGTAGTCTAGTAGATATAATTATCATTATAACATCTACTTTTCTATTTAGGACTGTTCGTTGGCTGTGTGTGTGGTGTGTGTGTGGTGTGTGTGTGTGTGCGTGCGTGTGCGTGTGTGATGTGTGTGTCAGCTTGATTTTCTCAGTTAAATCTATTTATGTAGTCTAGTAAAATGTTCTCCTGGTGTCCACAAGGTTGCGCTGTTGTGCCACTGTGCTCTACTCTGCCTTGAGTGCGTTCATCCAACAGCTCTCAGATCCAACCATGTAACAGCAACATAGGCCTACTTCTGACATCAGCTATTTCAAGTGCACGATTACGCAATGCGCTTTTTCCCTTTAACTGACGGACAGAGCATACAGGCGCATTGATTCACATCCAGTAAAACATTTTCCTGTCTACAAATGTAACAAGCTTTCATTTCTCAATGGTTGTTGCTCTGTAGTTCTGTCTGGTAGGAAAATTATGCTCAATTATGAATTTGTATTAGCTGTATATAAGCCTAATTTGTAGGCTAATTTATTTATTACAGCTTGGGTACATGGTTACTTTATTTGAAATTTTATAGGCTGTTTTTGGAGTAGACAAAATTAGCTTAGTTATAGTTTAATAAGGTGATTCAATTTGTGACCTAACTTGTTTGACCTGTGCGTTACTTATATAATCTAAACAGCTGAAGCTGCCTGGCCATTTAACACTAGTGGTTTAGTGGCTCATATAAACTGTGGCTTACACAGGACCCATTGTCCTATATGCGGCTGCAGCAGAGTTGAGGCTCCTGCAGGGAATACACTATAAACTCAACTACTAGTGTTATCATTGTGGATTTCTCCCACAGCCATTTCAGATGCCGAATCAATGGGCTTGCATTGTTAATAGCAGTCTCCATAATGAAGTCCCTGGTCCAATCAATGGCACCACTCTAGCTCTTATCTGGCAATGGCAAGTGTTTTGCTTGTCAACAGGCAGAGCCCAGCAGCGAGTGGAACAACAGTGATGCATTGATATGAATGTGGGTAAATCAACACACAAGCTGAGAAATTAAAACACATTCTGACAGTAACACTTGTGCATTGATAGGGCTTCTCAATTATGTATCATGTATCACAATTATTTATGTCATAATTGAAGTTATTATTATTCAAGCAGTCTGCTTTGAATAGTCTACCCCCCAGGGCAGCTATGGCTATCCAAGCACTTTATAATGCACATTGGCACTGTATAAATCCAGTGTATTATTATTATTATGTGTAAATAACAGTTTTTTCACCATTATTTTTTGTAATGGTTGGGTGTAATCATTGTGATGTATTGATATTGCACAGCCATGCATTGCAGTTCATTTACAAAGCATTAAATTTACATCAATTTAAGACTATATTCTGAATCTTTGAATATTGCACTATTAAAAACTGTTTATTTGGGGGATACTTGACTAAATAAAAAACATATGCCTATTTTTATTTCTTTCACAGTCAGACCTTTTGTTTGTCATTCTGCTTGATCTACTGAATAACTGCAAACATCAAATGAACCAAATAAAAGTGTCTAAACAGTTTGTCTGATTTGTAGCTCGGTGCAGAGCGGAGAATCTGCTAAAGTTGACTTTTTTTCTCAGCACAGGTGTTCCACATTCTACATAATGAGGCAGCCGCGGCGGGGAGCCACAAATGTGCCGCAAAACCACCTCAAAATGGAGACCTGGGGTTACGCTTTCAACCACAGCCAAGGTATATAAAGTCATTAAAAGAGAATATGCTTGTTCTTGTCAGTATGTTTTTGTGTTGAAATGCCATAATAGGTTATTTTGTTATGAGAAGGTAGAAACTATTTACCGGCCTGATCTCTATGGGAACAAGTGATGATGATATGGATTTATAAGAGTAGCATGGCAGGTAAACTTTTTTAAAAAGCAGTACTTCATCATAAAAAATATTAGTTGCTTTCTTGCACATTATGTTCAGTTCATAAAACATTTAATTCAGTACAGTTTAATCACCCTAATTGACCTAATTTACATGTCTTTATTGTTTTCTTTGCGCTAGTTAAGCTTGGATTACGCTCACATACTGTGCCTATAATGAAATAATGTATGTATTAAGATTTTTGGAATACATTATTGTATTACCTGAACATCAAAACATTTACAGCATTCCTCTTATTATATCTATGTCCATGTATCCACCTATTATGTATTTTATCCCCAGTGGAAAGTTGTAGCACATAACACATGTATCTAGGGGAACACACCTCAGTAGTAACTTTGCACCAGTGTCTTTTGTGCTACTGTAATCACATGACAATGGCTCCGTCTACAGGATGTCTTTAGGAAAAGTAACAAGAGCCTGGAGTAATGTTGCTGAGCTAATTTTAGTCTCACACTCATTATAACGCACTATCACATTTCCCTGCACCAACATTAGACAGTGCATGCACCCATTCCAATTACCATATTAAAATAATTACTGGTAATGTATGTCGCCAATGTCAAACAGTTGACTATTAATAGAACATTAGCACTGACATCATGTACAATACAGAGAGAATATCAACTGACCCCATAAAAAATCAGTGATGTTATATGTCTAGCATCAAAGTCGGACCGCATGCTGTGAACTGTGTGCCCATACTGGGTAATTACTGCTCAAAGCCCCACTGATATACTAAAAATAAGGCAGTCTTTTGTTTTACTTTGATCTAGCATGATATAATGTGTTTATGTGAGAAACAGTGCAGTGTCAAACATACTTTATGGTACATAGAAACTGTGTTACAATTAGCATATACCAGGCAATAATCATACTTTGCAATGTTTAAATATAATATCGAGACCAAGACCTCTTTCCTTAATTTGTTGAATTCAATTATCTCAAAATGATGACGTGATCTGTGTCCAGTACATTTCTTATTTCCTTGGCCGATTATGCTGTTTTCTATTTTCTCTTTTTCATTTCTATTTTTGCATGGCAAAACTAAGGGAATAAATAACATTTTTAAAATAATGTAGATATATAAACATCTCCCAGCGCACTCTCAATGTCTAAACTAATTATCTGCGAAACAGAAGTTCATATCCACAGATAATGTCAAGTGAGTCATTCTATTAAGTGGCGAGCTGATGTAATCATGCGGCCTGCCAACGTGAGTAGTATTGAGTATATACAAGTACTCACATCGCAGTGGGTTAGGCTATTACTGCTGCAGCAAATGTAAATTTGGCTCATTGATAGAGTGTGCGGGGCTGAATGAGAAATGTGAAAAGCACAGACTAAATAGACTGCTTCATAGTCTTTCCATCTGCATACACATCAGCTCAGTCACAAACACAGACCAGAGCCGCATTTTATATCTCCCATCTGAAAGCAGGATTAGAACCATGAATAATGCATGTATGTAAATGTCGGATTCGTATAACTATAAAAGATGAGAGTGATTGAGAAGACATTTTGTTAGATTGAGTTACAGTCACTTCTGAGTTATGGATATTTTCACTGCACAGATTGAAACAAACAGCAAGAAATGTATTTTTATATTTAAAGGAGTCACAATGCCTCTACATTTAACAAATACCTGGTTTTGTTTGGTAGCACAGCCAGTGATTATTATTACTGATAACTACCCAAGATCATGTACTATTTGCCTTCCATCACAAATCAATACATCACTTTTCTGTCAAACACCAAAGAATTCTCATAAATGTCAGCAGACATCTCCAATCAGATAATGCACTGGAGCATGTCACCCTCCCATCTGCACCACTGTCACTGCATTATGTATACGTCAAATAACAATTACAATGCAGCCATTTAGCATTGACGTCTCAAAGTATCCCCTCTAAATATAGCTCCAGCTAGCATGTCTGCAATACTGTTGTAATATGTGAAAGGCTTGACAGGCAGCACAGCAGATATCTGACAGTTTTGTTTTAAAGCGATAACTTTTGTAAATAACTGAATGTGTAAAAACAGCTACAGCAATGTCCAATGATGCTCACATGATATGACAGGATATTATATTATATTATACTGTTTAATATTCTGTGGCATTTTAGTATTTTCAAAGTAAGCCCTAAAGGTACAGTGAGCAACTTTTCTGGTGGAGGAACTATAGGCTACGTTACAGGTCAGATCTGTGGAAAGGCAACCCTATTAAGAAAGAGAATTATTGTATTTTTGAGCAACAAACACTTGTAATTAATAAATGCTAGATAGATGTGTTTAATATCATATCATGGAACATTTGAGGCAAAGCACTGACATCTCCATGGAAACTAGTAGGTGATGCACCCTCCACTACAAAAGTTGCACAATGCATCATTAACAAATATAGAAAGCAGTTTTTATAGAGATGTATTTATGCTAAATACTGCCAAAGACTGCCAAAACTACTTTAAATTTACCACATTATTTTGTTCAAGGCCTGTCTAATGGTTGAATATTAATAATTTTACAAGGCAATTTAGCCTTGAAGTTGCTATGGTGACAAGGGGATATTTTGAGACGACTAATGACCTATGCAAAACCCACTCGCTGTAAACTTCTCTAAATGAGATTGCTGTCTGTGTTGTAATACATGGTTTATAGAGGCTAATCCCTGAGCTACGCCTGGCCTTTTCTGTGCAGAACAAATTAAGGTTATTCATATCAATGTAAGACATCTGTGGCCTGTTTACTGTGAAAGAATATGAGCCAAACATGCCACCGGGGAACCACAACTATACACAATAGCCTTTTGTTTTGATTGTTGATGTACAATTTGTTACAGTTGTCAAAGTTTAGGTCACCACAGGAAAAAGTCCAGGGAGTGAAAATGTGTCTAAATCTTTTCTTTATTTTGGGCTTATGTCAAAAATTCCACACACATACACACACACACACACACAGAGAGAGAGAGAGAGAGAGACAGAGAGAGAGAGAGATTGAGAGAGAGAGAGGAAAAACACTTGGAAGACCTACTTTGTTCTGAAGCAAATCATGTTGGTCCAACAACTACAGCTGTCATCTGTGAAAGAATTAGTTGTGTTTTAGACATTTTTGGTGCGCTTTCTTCTATGCAATTTTGAGTGACTCTTCAAAGCACTGTTAAAATATTTGCAAATGTGTTGCTTAGATGAGGTGTATAGCCACTTATCCTGCTTCATCCTTTGGGGAAATCATTCACATGCATTGATTGTTTAAGGTTGTGTATATGTGTAACAGATTAAATTATCAACACTTAAATGGTTGGGTAAAGTTTTGGTTTGGTAAATTCTCTGGTACATAAAGATCTATTAGATAACTTTTCTTGTGTATGGTCCTTCAAATGCTTTTCTCTATGGAGATGTTATTGCTATGTTTGGAATGTTTCATAATATAGTAAACCTTTATATCTTGATGGAGACCAAACCAGACCAAGTTACAGGTCAGCTCTATGGAGAGGCTGACTGTGAGCAGTCAGAATGCCCATTTTTCTAGGTATTTTTGAGCTATAAAACAGTCTGTAATTTAATAAATGTAAGGTAAATCTATTTAATGTCATACTTTGGAACATTCCAGGCAGACCAATGACATAGAAAAAAGAAGGTGACGGACCCCCAGCCAAAAAGATAAAATGTACCTTTAATCAGTAGCTTTGCAGTTTATTCTTTTTTGTGTTTAATCATTTTTATGCAATTTACTGTGATATTTATAATAGTTTAGCCTTGACACTGAAATCTTGTATTTTTAGAAGGAAATGTGGTTAGATTGCCTCCTGTTGGACAACCAAAGAAATGACATGCAGCAGCAAGAAGCAGGAGCAATTATTTAATTAAATATAATGTATTAAGGTTATTTTTTATCAAAAATGTTTTATTTATATTTTTATGTAACATAATGTGTTAAATATATACAGTATGTCATTCTTTAGCCATATCCCATGTTCCATCCCTTTAACTGCAACCACATGTTAACATTTCATTTTTTTTATGTCATCAAAATACTTCTAATTTGGGCATGTAGTTTTTGTCTTGTTTTTGTAAATCAGTACTAAAACATGAACTTACTTTCCTTAGATTTGGATTGCTAGGCTTTACTATTTGTGTTTCTGGCTGCATTCTTCACCACAGAAAAGAGTTTAGTAGCCTAGTTCAATGACAATAACTTATGTATGAATAAGTCTGATGGAGAAAATGCCTTCCTGTATTAGTGCTACTTTGTATATTTTTAGTTTACTGCAAGTGTCCCAAAACCACACTACAGTACACACTCAAGAGATGTTTTTTCATTGATGTGGGCCAGTGGCTTTGTGAAGTCTGGCTTTAGCACTTAAACGCCAAAAACAGACAACCACATGGGCATCTGGCACTTTATTAGTGGCAGTTCCTAAAAATATTACAGTGATTTCATAAGGGAAAATAAGGGTGATAGACATTTGGAAACAAAGAGAGGAAGGTCAGTTTTAGGGTTTCCTGAGAGCTAGAGTAGTGATAGGATAAAAATAAGGCATGCAACCAAGGGCAAATACTTCTGTTTTCTGTTTGCATGGGTACATTAAAGATGCACAATGTAACTTTTCTTGAGGATTATTTGACACCTACTTGTCCACATGGAGATGGTGTTGCTTTGCAGTATGGCATTAAACTTACCTATGATGTGTTCTTTTCTTTAAAAAATATATACAGTATATACCTTTAAAACAGGCCTTCTTACTGTGAATGGGGTAATTTCTCCACAGATCTGATAGATGTAGATGATGCCATACTTTGGAAAATTCTAGGCAAAGTAAAAACATCGTCATGGAGACAAGCAGATAGCAGACCCTGTACTATAAATGTTACATAGTGCACGTTTAAGACAAAATAATGATTGAGTTTGAACTTGGACCAGACAAACAGACTTTCCTGTTTTAAGAGAAAAGCTGACTGGACAAAAATGACAGTGTAAATAATAATAAAGCATTAATAATACGTATAGCATTCTGGGATGTGTTATAAAATTGTATATTGAAACATAACCAGGTTTCTTATGGTATAGACAAATGTGTGTATTTTGAGAAACTGGAGCAAACTGGAGTGTTGTAATTCCTTTGTAAATTGGCTATTGGATAATGAAATGCTGCCCTCTTCTGTGCGATCTCTGGAAAAGTGCTTCTTCAATGCCCATAGCTTATGTCCTATCATTTTACATACAATTGAGAGAAATTGCCGTTTTCTCTCTCAACGTCTATTGGGACAAGTCACGCGTCTTTTTTGCAGTGTCCATAATGATCATCTGCCTCTGAGTTGGGTGCGTGGGACGCTCGTGGGCGGAGCTCCAAGTTTGGGGACTTTGCTCGAAAGTTGAGACCACAGAGAAGAGCGGCCAGCTGATCTCTAAACTTAGACACCTCAGACTGGTACCGCGCTACTGAAGATGATCCTACTGAAGTTTGCGTGCGCCGTCATCACCAGAGCGCTGTTCATCCTCGTGTCGCTCACCGGGGTCTGGAGAGTGGCTTGGGTTAAGGATGACAAAAGATTCTGGCTTCTTACTTTTCTATTTCTACCACTAGTTATTGAAATGATTATTACACTTAAGAGGAGAAAGGGAAAAGACTACAAATGGTAAGTGCGAATGTAATATTAACGTTGTGATAACACTTTTTAACCCTAACTTGTAAAACGTTTTAAAAGATTTCGGTACAGTCCATGGAGGTACGCTATGGATTTGAACTGCTTTTCAGATAGTTTGAAAATTGCATGTACACCATCCCCCACATCCCTGGACATCCTGATTCCTTCCTGTTCTTGTGCTATTGTTAAAATGTCCTGGGACAGTGATGGTTTGGGTGGTACCCTCTAGACTCAATCACCACTCATAATTTTATCTAGGTTATAGCAACAAGTTCTGTTCCATGTTTCTCCTGTAAAGCTCCATGTTCAGAACACACCCAATTCATTATGGTGTCAGGATAATGCTTTGCAGATTGGCTACATGTGTTTTGAGCCCCATTTACAATATGTGTTTATTTTATTAGAAATGTCTGCCTTTTAATGCATGATTTGGTCTTGTCTAACATTGCAGGTTTTCGCCACCTATTTTCCTGTTTCTCATCAGTATTATTCCGTCCATTTGGCTTTTAGAGCTGCACCACCAGCAAAACAAAGCTAATGCTCCTGAGGTAACCAGATTTTGTATTTACAAGTATAGCATAAAGTTGATTAAGTAAATTACAATTATTATGCTTTTTTTTTCTAGTGTAAGTCTCTTAACTCCTGGGAAAATGTGCAGAAAGTGATGTCAATCAATAAAACTGTGAATGAAACTTCAGATTTCCTCAAGTGACATCATATGGTTCAATACTGCAACATGTTGTTGCAGGTAAACCAAACCAGGAATTACTGTGGTGTGAACTTGAAATGCAATTGGCCTTTGAGCAAGAAACATTCCTGTTCCATAATCTGAGTCATTCATACATTTTAAAGCCATTAAATTATCATATATTCCCACTGTGTTACATTGCAGGGCATTGAGCAGGCCTTCTCCTCAGTCTGTCTCAATGACTGGATCCTGGCTCTCCATCAGATCCTGCTCATCTTGCTTATCATTGGGAAGTGGCTTCTTCCTGCTGGAGGGGTCACCCGTGAGCAACTGTCCCAACTTCTCCTCATTTTTGTCGGGACAGCTGCAGACATCCTAGAATTCACCAGTGAGACCCTTTCTGATGTCAAGTAAGTGACCTTTGCTATTTACTTTCAGATTAAACAAATTGTAACAGACATACAGATAAGCTGACAGTGTTGTTTTTGTGTGTGTCCCAGGGAAAACAGTCCTCAGCTGGTCTATATCATCCTGGCTGTATGGACATGGAGTATGCTGCAGTTTCCTTTCCATTTTGCTGGTCAGTGGACACTTGTTTACCTTTACAATGACTCCATTTATGCAGTGAGGTTTGAACTAACAACCTGTTAAATTCACCAAAATATTCAGCAGCCAGTAGTGTTTGGGCCTTTGTGAAAATGGAAAAAAGTTAACTTAGCATTATACAAGTTTAACAAGCCTGTAGGTTTCCATTACAGCAGTTTTGTTTATTTCATTATAAATATTACATCCATTTTCAAATCTGATTCCTTTTGAAAAAGACATTGGGCTTGCCTGCTCAAAACAAACAATCTTTTATTGCATTGTTTTTCTTGTAATCTCAAGTTAAAAGAACTGTATGTAGCATGCACTCTTACAGTTTTAAAAAAGGATTACAATCACAAGTGAACCTGGGTTGCTAGTGCCATAACCTGCATTTACAGACCACACAGCATACTGCAGAAGTAGCGACCGCACTACCACTGATTAATGACTGGCTGCAGTTGCTGGGGTTAAGTAATGATGATTTACCTAGATAATCCTAGTCAGTATTGAAAATGGCAACCCAAATAAGAGACTAATTTCTTAAAAGGAAATTGTCCTAATTTTGAAAAGAAGGTTGTGGGAGAAAGCATCAAGTGTGTCATGGGAATGATCTTGTGAGGTCCTGAAAAAGTTGTGCAGCATCACAGCTAAGGTATAGCTTATAGCACCATTATTTGAGAACAAAATGAATATGAGCTGTGTTTTTCTTGTACAGTGGTGAACACAGAGCCCGACAGTGAGGAAAGGGTTCAGGAGATGTCCCTCTTAAACAAGCACAGCACAGATGTGTGGAGTATTGTGGAAGCCCTGTTCATCCAGGATGGACCATTCCTGGTGGTGCGACTGACTGTCATGACCTACTTTGATGTCTTTCACCAAATGCTGGTCTTCTTCACCATCAAGAACCTGTTGGTGGTCATCCTTAACCTGTACCGCCTGGTGGTCATATGTCAGGACTTCAGGTCATCCCGCAGTGGGATTGGTGAGGCCACACCTTTACCTTGATGGAACATCAACACATCCTTTGTAAATAATGCACAAGGCGGCTACATTTTTTGTTCATTGTTACATTCCACAATCCACAGTACAGCATATAGTGTTTTCTACCTCATCATCATCTCATCTTCATCAGTAACTTTTTCCTATCTACTAAAGACTCATTTTAAAGCTTGTTGGAGTCAGATGATACTGTCCACTTCAATGTAAGTTTTATATTGACTATTAAGTGCATGTGTAAGGTTAGACAACTCATTTCACTAAATCATAGGTAATATTATATTTAAACCCTAGCAGAGGTAATTCCATAGCTGTTACCTAATGTTACAAGGGCAAGCACAAGGGCCAGGGCCTGTTAGGGACTTCTAGGCCTTCACACAAGGCCCAAACATTTCAGCATTTATATGTTAAATTTAAAGACTGTATAAAAAGACAATTTCTATAAAAAATTCATAAATTCATATTTCATAAACACGTTCAGAAAACTAGTGTCCAATCAGATTTAGTGTTTTTTGTTACATGTTCAGAACTTATTATTATTATTATTATTATTATTATTATTAAATAAACTCATCAAAAGTACAAGGTATACAAATTATACAAAAATAAATATGCAAAAATAAATAAAATATTAATAGTTTACAAAATAGATGTAACAGGGTGAGACAGAGGTAATGCTAGGGAGGGGTAAATTAATAAAATGTCACAACAAAAATTTACAATTACAAAAAAATTAATAAATTCAATTGTTCAAGGATTTCCAGGGTTTGACAGCTTTAGAATTAGTGGACAAGTGGAAAGGTTTTCTTATAATACTGGATTTTGGAAGGTAAAATAGGAAAGATGGGTTTATGATGAATTAATATGTTTTTCTGTATGTGAAAATGTTGCTAAATTAATTAAAATATGAACAGTGTTGGGAAGGTTACTTTTAGAATGTAATCCCCTACAGATTACATATTACACACCCCAAAATGTAATTTGTAACGTAATCCATTAAATTACTTAAAGTGAGTAACGTAATCTGATTACTTTGGATTACTTGATATTGTCATGTTTTTTTAAACGACATGAATGTAGCAACCACGTCCTCAAAATTCGTGTTTGTTGTCTTCAATTTGTCTGAGCCCAAGTCTCCATGAATAAGCAACTGTTTGCTGTAGAGAAACAAAGACCACGATATCTTAATATAAGAGGTTTTGTCTGTTAAAAGACAGTAACAAGATCAGCCTTTCCTTCACCATATTAAAAAATATTATTGATAGAGAAATTATATGAGATCACCTTAAATTATGTCAACCTACTGTTAAATGTCATGTTGTTTAGACCTGGTTTAGTCCTGGTTTAGTCCTGGTTTAGTCCTGATTTTTAGACCTGGTCTAGACCAGGTCTTTAGTTCTCGTTTAGTCGTGGTTTAGTCCTAGTTTAAACCTGGTTCAGTCCTGGTTTAGTCCTGGTGTTAGTTCTGGTTTAGTTCTGGTGTTAGTTCTGGTTTAGAGGCGCACAGGAGGAAGCGCGGTTTACGCGAGAAAACACGGTCCACACGCGGCGCACGAGACGGCGGTGTCCGCGCTGTAACTACGGAAGGAAACGTGGTCCGCGGGTTCTCAGGTTGATGACGATGATGAAGGTGTTTGTGTGTGTTTGTGTTTGTGTGTGTGTGTCCCCTCATGTCGCAGGTCACTATAGGACAGTAGTGCAGATATTATGAGTCTATGCAGGTTGTTTTCACCAGTGCCAGTAGCTCCGGTTTCACATTTAAGTTGTAGGCGATTTTATATTTGTTTTTTTATATATATATATCTCACATCGGTAGAAGAATTTCCAAGACACAAATGCGTTTTTACCAATGCACTGCTGCTTCCACTGTGTGACTGACACCGCCAACTTTAACATGACGTTTCCATCGCTCTTATTGCGCGCGTTCTGTTTGGGCTACAGGCAATGAGTGAAATTACCGAAATAAAAAAATAAATAAATGGGATGTAGCACAAAATGTGAAAACAGGAAAATACCGCCTTGTAATCCACTTATTTCAGCAAAGTAACTGTAATCCAATTACCACTCATTGAAACAGTAACTGTAACGGAATACAGTTACTCATAATTTGTACTCTGATTACGTAACGGCGGTACATGTAATACGTTACTCCCCAACACTGCATATTTGACCCAGTTCGAGTAGTTGCCGTTGCAGTTGCTGTTGCAGTATAGGCTCATAAATGAGTTGGTCTTGAATCAGTACAGTTTTCTCAATTGTTTTAGCACATTTTTGAAGTTTGGTATGGTTGGGTCATTTGATTCAACAATATAGCTCAATAGAGGCACAGGTGGTCACATCATTTGAAACATTTTTGCAAACTCTTTGTCAGGACATTTGACACAGCTCTCATTCACAAACATACGTGAACACTGAATTCAGCTTGTTTTTCCAGTATTACAGGCATTTTCACACATGGTAAAGGATGTTGGCCCAAACTCTCTCTTTCAATATAGAGACTCAAACATGACAACAAAAAGCAAATAATTGTGAGCAGGCCAGTTGACATTTGATTCAAACATATATCTGATCATATATCTGATCGGGTACAGCTGGTCAAATCATTTTGAACATTTCTCATGAGTTCACACGTTTCTCAGACTCTTTCTTGACATGACATGTTCACAAACACACATGATCAGTGAATTCAGTTTGTTTTTTCAGCACTATAGGTCTGGTCACACATGGTAAAAGATGTTGGTCCAAACTCTTGTCACTGTCAGTATAGAGACTCATACAAGATGACAAAAAGCAAATATTTGATTTAATGAGTTATCATAAAGATAAAGGGAAAAACTGTTCTGATGTGGGTGCTCGTTCTGACTTATTGTGTGAACTCGTGTGGTTCTGTCAATTAGATGATAGTTTGTAATGGGAAGTGACTGGTCGATTCTCTCTTATCTGTCGTGCTCATGTATTTGTGAGCAGTGAGACTGGACAACAGTTAATAGAATATTTAGCACGACTCATGTTCTACCCACAATGAACACTGGTTGGTGCAGTCATGTGCCTGCACTAAGCCCTGCCTCACGCGCACCTCTGCAGGTGTATGCAGGGGCTGAGGCTCTGTATGGTTGCATTGACATTTTTGCTGATAATTACCTCCACCAAGGAGGTTATGTTTTTGCCGGCGTTTGTCTGTTTGTTTGTTTGTTTGTCTGTTAGCAACATAACTCAAAAAGTTATGGACCAATTTTGATTAAATTTTCAGGATTTGTTGGAAATGTGAAAAGGAGGAACTGATTTAATTTTGGGGGTGATCTGGAAGAAATCCTGGTTTCTGGATCACTTTGAAATTTTAGTTAACATTGTGGTAAATGAGGCCAAAAATTTTGTTTCTCAATATCTCGGATAATTATTGACCAAACCCCATGAAATTTGACTCAGGGATGGACAATGGGATCCTCCAAAGGCTGATCCGGATCTGATCCAGAAGACTGATTTTATCGCAATTTATATAAAAAATGGGGGTAGTCCTTGGCGGAGGTCTGCGCTCTCTGAGTGCTTTTCTAGTTGCATTTGTAAATATCACAGACTGAAGGCGTGTTTTAAATTACACAATGGTTGAACTTATGCTTATATATTTTTGATAAATTAAAGTTTAAACTGACAGAAAAAATGCCTTTCTTTTCAATTACTGAAAAATAAAAAAACATAAAAATAAATATTTATCAGAGATAGTATCCCACTAAACCTACCTTTTTTGTTTGTTTGTAAACTTGGTTTAATTTGATCATTTGATTCAAACATGTAGATACACAAGTGGTCACATAATTTGGTACATGTCTCATGAGTTCACATAGTTCTCAGGCTCCAGAACACTGGACACAGCTTTCATTCACAAACATACGCGAGCATTGAATTCAGCAGCAGTTTTTTCTACAGGTCTGTTCGCACATGATTAAGGACACAGACCCAAACTTTGTCACTTTCAATATAGAAACTCAGACATAACATTCTACAATTTATGATCATCAAAAACTTGAACAGGAAAGGATTTCACACATGAGTCAAACAGAGAGAAGGGTCTTAGAATTGAGTACCTTGAGGACATGTGTAAATACAGATTTTCAAATACAGTTCTTGTTTGATTTTCAAGAGCACATTACGTATATATTGCAAAAGAATATTGATATATTTGCTATTCTAATGTCTTTAAATTTTCTTACTTTTTTTTTTTTTTTTTAACTCTTTAGCACTTTTATTTATTGAAAATTGACATTTGCAAAACACACACAAAATCTTAAATGACATTTTATTTATCCCAAACATTATGTTATTTCAGCAAAATGCTATGCAATGTTGTTCAAAACTGATTGACTGATCTCCCAAAAGCAAGTTTTACCATCAAAATGTTCAAACTCTTGTCATCTGTTTTTCCGCAGCTCAGAAGCTTTAGTCCTGCTCTCATTGACCACAGAGAATCACTGGTTTGGTTCAGTCAGACACTGGGGTTTTCACTTTACATATGAATTTTGGACTGGAAATCTTAACTTTTTTGTCTAAAGCCTCTCCGTATAATGTTAATGTTAGTTGGTAATGTTAAATATAACTGATGACATTACCAACTACAAAGACGATTTAGCAATATTTGATCAAAAATATTTGCGCTGAAGAAAATTTAAAGAAGTTGGAATAATAAATATATCAACATGATTTTATTACTATAATATGTAAAGTGCTCTTGGAAAGACATTTACACATCTTACAGTGTGCATATGCAGACTCTAGATTCACATAGGTTGTGCTCTCTACAGAGACCCTTCTCCCTGTTTAACTCATGTGTGAAATCCTTTCCTGTTTGATTTTGGTGCTCACACATTCAATACACAAGTAGTATTGAAAAAACAAGCTGAATTCAATGCTTACATATGTTTGTGTATGAAAGCTGTGTCCAGTGTTCTGACAAAGAGCCTGAGAACTATGTGAACTCATGAGACATGTACCAAATGATGTGACCACTTGAATCAAATGATCAAACTAAACAAAGTTTCAAAAAATGTGCTAAATTATTGATTTTGATCAAATACTGCAAAATCTACACTGAAAAAAAAAAGGTTGGTGGATTTGCATAAAAAAGTTATGGAAAGCGGTTGCATGCAATAAAATAATGTTTAGGCTTTGAAACTTATTTCGATCCCCTGTACACATATTTTTCTCAGAACATGAATGTCACTTTTTCATGTTGATGAAATTTGATCAAATCATGCGGAATATGTATATTTATCTTATGTTACCATATCGTGAAATGTATACGTATAATGTATAATTTAATTTAATTGATCTAATTCTGTAAAATAATACAAAAACAGTCTTTAGTTTTCCACAGTTCTGTATTGTCTTAAACAGAATCAAACACACAAAGAGCACAAGTACAGAGACACACAGTTTGGAGCTGGACAGTGTGAAGATTTATTCCAGTGAAGACGCTCTGGTCTCTGCCTGTTGACACACGACTAACACGATTACATTATGATGATCTGCTCTGTTGTACATGTTTAAATACATTCAAAGTACCTATAATGGACCAGAACAGAATTACAAGAACATTAGAACTGTATCTGCAGAAACAAAACTCACCATGTGCTGCTTTTCTTCTTCTAAACGCAGTAACAGGGAGGGCATCTGGTATAAAGTTATCCTAGAGCCACATCACCCTGTAGAAACACGATGACTGTTTCAATAGGAAGTTCATTTTGAAAAATTTGTTTAAAATAATTTTAGTTGAGTTACTTACTTTGTTCATCTGTGGTCTGTGTTTTATTGGTTCTCAATCATCTTCCTTTTTCCTGAAGCATCAGCTATAACATTCATGAACTTCCCCACAGCTCCAGCCGAGCTCTGGACGTCACTCTGTGTTTGTAGACGACTCTGGAAGCAACACATTTAAATCTGAGTACAACTGTCACACTCCTGTAGATGGACAGTCAAAGACAATTTGTTTCTTGGAAACAGTCCTTACATTAACTCTAATTTCAAATAAAACACCACAAACATGTTTTAACGATGACGACATTCTAGGCCAGAGAAGCACATAAA